CGTAGTGATACTGCCTCGGAAACCCAAGGAGGGGTCGCTATGAGTCAGGGCTGACTCGACGGCACATAACAACAACAACAACATAGCAAAGTTCAAAAGATACTGGAAATATTAATATTTATCTAACATGAAAAGTGAGTCGCATTTTTGTCTTGTGCAGGCCACAGTACTTGACATTACTGTATATATGCTATTAAATAAAGCATTAGGCATACCTCATTGCCACTTTTGCGTTCAATAGATATTACAGTCACATTTGAAAAGAAGTTACATCACGCGTAGCTAAGACACACACACACACATGAATATGTACAACTCACGTATTTCGTTGGAATACATGAGTAAACAGATGAGCGGGCACCACAGATTATCAGCGTTTAGGGACTTCACACGCCTTAATCCAGCCCTGGTGGGTTATGTCTTTCTGTGGGTGCAGCGAGGGGGGCTGTACTATCAGATCTCACCGCAGCTCTACCTCTCTTCCCAGGCTTGGGTGGTGGGGTAGGTGGTGGTGGGGGGATGTGTCTTAAGAATCACCAGTCCCATCCCCGGGGATTTGGCCCTCTGACAAGGTGTCCCAGATGGTGGGAGGGGGTCCAAATCGGCCTGCTGTCGCTCAGCCGCCCTCCGCACAATTTTCCCTGAAAGGTTACACGACATATCTCACCGCTCCAGGTTGCTATACCCCGCAGGCCGCCTCTGCACGTTCGCTCAGCTCTACCCACCGCAAGGTGTCCCCAGGGGAGTAGGGCCGAGATCCATCCTGGTCCCCCTCCCTCAGTTAAGCGTTCCTCTAATCCGGCTACTGTGGGCTCCCCCGGCTCCTTTGGCTGAATGAGGGCACAACTAGAGGGGATGCTTCCCAGGTCCGTATCGGCCTCCCGTGTCCCACCTGAGCCGAGCAGGGGGGATTTGCAGCGTGCACTAAGTGGCGGCCCGTCGCGTCCTGCCCCGGCTCCTCCGCAAGCCTTCTCCGCCCCAACCCTTTTGCAACCAGCCCTTGCCTTTTTACTTCCCCAAACTCTGGGGCCCCAGCGAAGGTGTCACTCCCCGCGTCCCGCCCCCGACGGCGGTTCGAGTTGTGCAACATGCGCCGGGCGATCTTTTCCCTTCAAACTCCCTCTTCTCCCGAGTCCACATCAGAAGTCTCAGCGCTCCGAATGTCCGCCCCAGTGCCCCCAGATCTTTGCGCCCAAGCCTCTGATCCCTTCCGAGCCCTCCAGCGCAGACTTCCTGCTCGCAAGCTCTGGGCGCGCAGGCCCCGGCCGGTCGACCGCCCGCCCCTCCGCCCTCGCGGCCGCAGCATCCTCTGGGCCGCAGAGCCCCGGGGGACGCATCGAGGTCTTACTGGCTGGGAGCAGACAGGCTTCGGGTGGTTCAAGAGCCGCAGAGAGGAGCGACCCAGGGCCGTCACGGTCAGGAGCAGTAGCAGCAGCCCAAGTGGGGTTCCTGAGGAGATGAGTGACACGCAGTTCGGGGGCCCCATGGCCCGGGCACTGTGGCGGAGGGCGCGGGGCCCGGGACTGGGGCCTCAGCGGGCACGTCACGGAACTTTCCCTTCAGCTGAGAAGTCCCAGCTCCTCTCTGCTCAACTGCTTCCGGCTTCCAGCCAGAGCCTAGGGGGCGGGCCCCGCCAAAGGGGAGGGTTTTTTGGCTGGGGACCAGTCACTCCTCCTTCGGTGCGTCCCAGGTATGCGCTCCTCCCCGCGCTCCTCCGGTGGGTGCAGTCCTTTCTCTGCTGTCCCGCCAGCTTCTCCAACCCAAGCCGAAAGCGCTGTCAATTTATTCTCAAACCTTAGCCGGCGCCCAAATTTGATTCCCGCTCTTGTCGTCAAGCCGTAACACTCAGTTTAATTCTTTTTCCTCCTTTTCTCTAGGGTCATTTGATGTCAAGCCACAAATTCGAGACTCAAAGGAAGTCAGGGTTTTTTTTTTTTTTTTTTAAGTCTCTTTCTGTGCTCTCACTGCACTCCCCGCCGCCTTCACTCAGCTTCTTGTTCTGCTTTTTCTATCCTTTCTTTCACTTTGTTAAAGTAGGCACAGCTCCAGGCTCCAGGAACAAACCCATTTCTTTGTTGGGTTCCTGGAGAGGTAGTGTTGTTGTTGTTATGTGCCATCGAGTCGGCCCCGACTCATAGCGACCCCTCCTTGGGTTTCCGAGGCAGTATCACTACGGAAGTAGATTGCCTCATTTTCCTTCCGAGGAGTGGCTGGTGGGTTTGAACCACCAGCCTTCTGGTTAGCGGTCAAGTGCCTTACGCACTATGCTACCAGAGCTCCCGGAGAGGTAGTGGGAGCGGTCATTTTTCAGACTACTGGTGCGAACCCTTGGAGACTGAATTCCTAAAGGGCAGAGACCAACCAGATTTTATACCATTGTAACCCCACAGCGTCCAACAATGCTGTATTTCCCACAGGAAATATCTTACTCTATATCTGCCGAAGGACTGTCATCGTATAATTACATCTAATTAACCCCAGTCCTATGATGCATCCTTTAGAATCTGTGATGTCTGCATCCTCTCCTATTCGGACGCTCTAAGACCATCCTATGTGAGGCAGGCATTTTCTTTTCCTGGGTTCCTGCCACTCCCTCCTAGCCTGGAGTGAATCTCGTCCTTTATTTTATCCTACAAGCTCCTGCCAAGTTTGCCCTTATAAACTTAAACTTTTCATCCTCTTTCTACATTCATTCAGAACCCAGGTATACAGCGATGAATCTAAACTCACTTACCTTTTCCTTGTATTTCCCATCCACTGGAATAGAAGTTCCTTGTGATCTGGGCAGTGGATTTTCTCACTGTTCAAAACACTACTGCCCTTTTCCTGCTGCCCTCAGGGCCCTGGCGACCATTTTGGTTAGACCTCCTGAAAACTGGGCTGAAAACTCAGTGCTATCTTTACACATTTTTGCTTGTTTATCTCTAAAAGAATTTTAGAAAACTCAGCATTCCCTCAAACATTTAAAAAAAAAATCTACAAATTTTTGGCTGCTGACCAGAAGAAGGTCAGCAGTTCAAACCCACCAGCTGCTCCGTGGAAGGAAGAAGGGGGGTGGTCTACTTCTGTAAAGATTTACAGCCTCTGAAACCCAATGGGGGTCCCTATGAGTCAGAACCCATTCCATGGCAGTGAGGTTTTTTGTTTTTTTGCTTTTAAGTTTAAATAGATGTAAAAGATACAATTACTGGCATTTTCACATATTGACATTTGTAGTAGACAGCTTCTAAGATGGCTCATTGGATCCCACTTCCTGTCCAAATCCTTCTGTAATTCCTTCCCCTTTAGGATAGGCTGGACCTAGTGACTTGTTTCTACAGTGTAATATGAGTAGAATAACACATGAGATGGCAACTGTAAGATTAAATTACAAAATGACCATGATTTCTGTCCAGCTCAGCCTCTCTTTTTCTCTGGCCTTACTGAATCTGAGGTAAGTCAGCTGCCATGTTGTGAGCTGCACTGTGGAGTAGTCCTTGTGGCAAGGAACTGACGAAGGCCTTTGGCCAAGGAATTGAGATCCTCATTTCATAGTTAAAATTATTAGCATGTAATTGATCAAAGTAGTGTAAATATAATGCAACTTATGACAAATAATTTTAAACACAGGCACCCTGAAGGTTCTATGGTTACATGCTAGGCTGCGAACTGAAAGGTTGCTTGTTCAAACCCACCAGATCCTCCATGGGAGAAAAGACTTCACAATTGGCTCCCATAAAGGTAGCAGCCTAGGAAACCCAATCGAGCGGTTCTAGTCTGTCAGATAGGATCACTATGAGTTGGAATCAACACAACAGCACACAACAACAATCATTAAACATAATAAAAATTGTTATTTGAAATGTACCTCTTGAGACAAATGATTTTCCTCTCTTAATTACTTCATGTATCTGTGGATAAATATTGCTTATACCTAGAATGAGACTGCATTCAGCATTTCTTTCTTTTTTTTAGTTTTATACATGTTAGTTGCTGTACAGTGTTTTCTGACTCATGGTGACTCCATGTATGATGAGAACTGTTCCACAGGGTTTTCATCTGTTCTATCTTCAGAGGTACCTCTATGTGGTTCAGATTGCCAAACGTTCAGTCAGCAGTCCAGTACCTAATGGTTTGGACCCCCTAGGGATTCCTTTTATAGATACAAGCCTTGAAGAATCTTGTTTACATAAATAAGTACATGGATATGTTTGAAATTTTGTCAGGATTATGTTATTCAATTCTTTGACCTCCTTTTGAGTTATATACCAAAAGTCACACAGCAATCTGTCACCAAATATTTTCAATGATTTAGTAGCTGGCAACATGATTGGGCCCTCCCTCAGTTTTTTTGTTGTTATTAGGTGCCCTCAAGTTGGTTCCAACTCGTAGTAACCCTAAGTACAACAGAACAAAACACTGCCAGGTTGCACCATCCTCACAATCATTGCCATGCTTGAGCCTGTTGGTGTAGCCACTGCCCTTGTTTTGGTAAGGTAATATTTGGAACGTACCTGACCTACCAAAAATAAATAAATGAAAAATTGTCCCATTAGACACCAGTACTTGGGTTTGCTCCTTTGCTTAGTACCTAGGAGTTTTTTTTTTTTTTTT